CTGGGCCTGTCTGAGGGACTAACCGCCACGTGTAGTCGCCTCGTGCTGAAGTGCCATGCGTAGCGTAAGGCACTTCGGTTCCGACAGGGACTTACCCCTGACTTCCCCGGCACTTCCCGGCACCTCGTGACCGTGTTGGTCACGATGCATCAGGCAACGCCGAGGAAGCTCAGAACCAGCACACACTGCTCGAAGTTGAGAGACCACCCTAAGCGCTGCTATTGTGGTAACGCAGTTGTTGTGTTGGTCTAGGCAGCAAAGTTTTTGAGTACCGATGGCAGTTCAAAGAGACACTTCAGTTGCATTAGGTAGGTTGTTGTATGCCAGTCTCAAGAACCTGTGAACCAGATGTTGTTCGGCGATACTCAAATGAAAATACTTTTGGCTCGGATATATTTTCGTAAACCATTCGTTTTGTATGAGAATGTTCGGAATACGAAAATTATTGATCAGTCGAAAAGGTTTTATTTTGACAAATCAGTGTCGTTTTAAATGAAATTGTCGGGCTTTAACATTAGAAGAGGAAATGATACAAAACAGGGTGGTTTTTGTAATCTCTAGTATATTAATTTGAGCATTGCAAACGATATTTGAAGATGGCTTAAAATCCCACGCATAAAAATATAATTTTTATACCATCACATACCTACATAGTTTAGATACCAAATGATATATTTAAACACTTGTATTATGGAAATCTGAAACAATGAAGGTAACAACACCCAGACCAGAGACAATATAGAAAAGCTCATTATCTGCATTAACATGACTGAGAGTGGAATGCGGGAGCTCAGAAATGGTGACACCTTGGAACTGGTGAGCCACTCGCCCAAGATCCGACATATGCAATCTGGAACATCCTGATTGTTCCATAAACTTACAGATCGCATTAGATAGCCCCCTCCAATGTGTCATGTCATGCATTGTATTTATTTCTAAAGTTTAATGAACTGGTTTCATTACCATTTAAATATTGGTGTGTACTTCTGGTAATCTACCTTGAATCAACTTGCAGTTGCAACCATTTTATGCACCCCCTTGTTTTTTGGGTGCAATATACTATTATCAAAGAAGAACTTGTTCGTTCTTCCTATCAGCCAAAAGACGTCCTGAACGAGTGGTGGGGAAATAACGTTTGAATAAATATTATTTTGACTTTGACTTTGAACTCTGAATTTGGCAAAAATTTCTGTAAAGACACCTCAGAAAACTTCTCCACGGCTCTGAACACATCAGTGCGTCTGCCACTTAATATTTGGAAAATATAATCCTTGTTGAATGTTGATTAGATTTTATCAAAAAGCATTAAGGTCTTTAGCAATAGATCAATCTGCAATTTATTGTAAACTAGTTCTAAACTAATTGATTCATACTTTAATTCTGTTAAGGTATTTGTTAATGCTGTAGATTGTACCATTTCTATAAAATTTAACTATAATGACTTCTATTTTTGCAAATAAAGATCTTATCTTAAATCATCAATTGTTGTAGCAGAAACAAATCGCCTCAACTTATAATTTAATTTGAGCATGTTTCATCTAATTTGGTTTCACCATAGACTGGGTCTTTAACGTTATTAAGAAAAAAAAAATCCTATTTGAACTTGTGTTGATTGTTTTACTATAGTAGGTACATAAAGAAAATTATCACCAGTCGTAACCGCTGCAAGTAGGAACTGTTCAGGACCGTGGGGTCGTAGGGAACGTGATGGTGGCTGTGGTTGCCATAATTGCGGTCCTGGTATGGATACTATGTGCTATTTTGTTATGGAAAAATGCACAGGTGGATTTAGTTTTCCAGTTTTTATCATGCATTATCAAAAAATGTCACTGGTTGGGGTAACAAATCGAATGCAAATCACTTACAGTTTTTCTCGCCTCTGTACCTTACTTGCTCTCTCCGAGCTGGAATCCGACGACGCTGTTCGATGAGCTCGAAGACAATAAACACGCCTGCTTCAATGCTGTTTTCTTTGTTTATTTCACTGTCCCGTTGCTCCATCGCGAAGGGAGGTTAATTTTATATTCATTTCATTTTAATTTTAACACTAAACTATATAATAATAAGTATAATTTGTGCACATTTTATGTAGGACCGATGTTTTCGCCACGAAAAACGACGCTATAATGACGGTAAGCGTTCGTGCCTAAAAGTCATTGGTTCGCTACCCGCAAACTAGATGGCAGCACAGGCGCCGGAAGTAAGAGGGGAGGTAGTGTTTTGACCGGAAACGTCACAAAAAGGATGATGCTTGACTCAAGATGGATTCCGGATATCGAACGGAACAAATAATTAACAAATTTATTGTTACTTTTAACATCTGTCAGATAATTACATTCAATTTTATAAGAGTTCCGTACCCAAAGTAAAAAAAAAAAACGGAACACTATTTCTAAGACTCCGCTATCCATCTGTCACCAGGTCGTATCGCATTAACCGGTATATATTAAATATACAGTTTAAATTTTCTGTTGCCGAAAATTTCTAAGATTGAAGGAAGGGAACAACCTTATCACAAATACTTTATTTATTATTCTTAATTTTCTGAGTTTTTTTTTCTGAATAACACACAACATGTTTATATTTTTATTAAGCCCATTTATTAGCGTAGATTATAGAATAAAACATAAATAATTTTTGTACCTAAAAATAAATTATTTAAATAAAGACGAAAAGTAGAATCATGGTAATAATAACGATAAATGTGTTTTTCAAGAAAAAGTGAAAGATATATCGAAATTATTCCGTTATTTGCAATTTTGCGAAAATCAATATTCACTAAAACCACCAATGACGTTAACAACGGTCCTGCAACGATTTTTCATGCTTCGAATCAATTTATCAAAGTTTTGCTGCGGGATATTGTCCCAGGTCCTGGAAAGATGCAAAAAAAGTTACTCTTCAGTGACAATGTTTGTAGGTAAATTCCTCAAAGCCCTTTGGAGCATGTCCCACGCGTGTTCTTTGGGGTTTAGGGCTGGTGATTGCACGGGCTAGTCTAAGACCGATACATCGTGCTCCTGTAGAGAGCTGGTGACCACTCGCGCTGTGTGGAGACGAGCATTGTCGTGCATGAGCGTGAATGCTTGACCCATCTGTAGTCGATGTGGGTAGGCTATTAGTACTAGCACTTGGCTTGGTCATGGTGTTTCTTATCCAAAGGAGGTCTGTTCTTCCACCAACACGAATTCCCGGCCAAACCATAATCGTCCCGCCATGGTATGGATGGACTTCCTGTGGATGTTGCAGGCGCTCTCACGACCAGGAGTAGGTACGCCATACGCGTACTCTTCACGAATCAGGATGGAAACCGAATCGGGACGCATCGGAAAACAGCACTACAGACCACTGGCTACCTTCCCAGAGCAAATGTTCACGAGCGCACTGTAATCTTCTTCCACGATTTCCTCGGCGTAATGCAGGAGTACGAAGTGGTCTGCAAGCATGAAGATTAGCTTCATGCAGTCTTCTTCTCTCATGTTGGTCACTCACATGCAACTGGTGCTCTGACTGAATCCTTTGAACCAACTGCATGGCCTTACGGCCACTTGTTTGCCTTCTCGGAGCAATTTGCAAAAATCGGTCTTGTCGTTGAGTGGTTATGCGCTTCCCGTCTAGGTGTCTTTCAGCCACTTCACTAGTAGCACGATAACGTGACCTTAATCGTGATATTAAGTTTTGTTTTGTTTCGATGTCCTCAGCAATACTCCGTTGAGTACTGTCCTTAACATTTCCTCTCTTGTTAAATGGCGTCGCTGCATAATGCATACAGTAGCACGAATTCAAATTAAAGAGCTAACTTGTTTTAAAACTTTCGATTAACACAAAAAATCTTCAAAAGCTATGGAAGGTAAATTGAAAACTTCGATCTTCACTTGAATTATGCCGCGCAAATCTTTAGTTTGAAATATAGTTTTTTAAATTCAACTTTGGGATCATCAAAAAAGGCGTACAAAATAAGTTTTCATCAAAAGATTTTAAAACCGGCCAGTATTTTTTTAATTTAGAACTTTATACAAAATATCTCTAGACGCTGTTGATGTGTTTACTTGAGTCAAACAACTCGGTGTTAAATAATTTCTTTAGAATATTTTTGAGAATGGAAAAACAAGTTTTCCGTCAGCAAAGGGTTTCAAGCTCAAGACAATATGAACGAAATCGCCCGGAAGCGCCTGTAGTATAAAGAATTATGAATTATTGTAAATAGTTCGACGTGTAAACACTATACGTTCGGTATTATAATAAAGCCTATTTAATTTTCGATATACATTTGTGCTTATCTATGCAAACCGCAACACATAACCACAAATGTAATGAAAAATCTTATGGTCACGGATAATTTATTAAATTTGTTTTTGTCTGCGGTAGTAAAACGTTTAAACAATTTTTAAACGTTTTACTATATGTGAAGAGTTATTTGTTTTAACATATGCTTATAACAGTTTTTCAGTTGCGATCCATAGCATGTTTACTAATTATGGCGCCCAAATATTTAATTATAATTAGAATAAAAGAATGTCAAAAATATAGTTAAAAATGTCAATATCATATAAAATTTATCATTTAGATTATTTAGATAGTCATGAATAGTATAATAGTAATTTTGAATCAAATTTTTATGCAATTTCAATTTGCATTTTTTAAACAATTAATTTTTCAAACTCTCCGGTAATTTGTTGAATATGCGGATGATGGATATACAATATGAATATTGACGTGTATTCTTAGTTTTTGTAAGGGCACATATAATCTTTGACTTTATAAACCTCTATCAAATTAATATAATAGCAGCCAGTTTTACATAAGTCCATTAAAATTTGCGTTAGCTTTTAAAGCGACATTACCTATACAATTTTGACAGTCATTGGAGCTTAAAGGCGTCATTAAACCTTAGACGTTTGTGCAACTGATCGTAGAAGTGTGATAGAGATGACTGGACCAAAAGCAAGACCACAGAAAAGATGTATGGACTGTGAGAGACATGACAGTGGCGGGAGTAAATGAGAAGGGGACACACTGCGCCTGCCCCACATAGACTGGGAACAGTGTCGGCTAATGAGCATGAGCAAAGCAGAGTAGTTCGCACGCCGGTTTCAAGGTGTCGCCATCTCTGAGGTCCCGGGTTCGATTTCCGGTCGGGTCAATGTAGAAAATTCACTTTTCTATACTGTCTCTGGTCTGGGTGTTGTCTCAGATACTCCATGCTTTAGCTACTCATCTTGGAATCTTTTCAATGTATATGATGCTGTTTAATATTTATAGTTATTTAGACAAAATTCCTCCTGTCTATTGTGCACCCCACCATTTTCATTCTGGGATCAATAGAATAGGTGTCATGTTAATTCGTACGAGTTATAAAAGTTTGTTTCCATTGTTGACAGTTGGCACGTCGTTGTGTGTCGGAGCATGAGTGCCGATCAATGCCGACACCGCCACCGGGCGCCGTGGACCCCAGCATACACGCTTACAAGATCCTCAACAACACCTGCGTTTATATATGTCCCAGTGGATACACGGAAGTAAGTGGCACTGTGTTGTGCTCTCTCGTACCAGGTGCGAACGCAGTCCTCCAAAAAGGTTGTGGTCATAGTCACCCGAAAACAGGTAAGTGCGAGTTTGCTCCCGTGGACAAAATAGTGCATTCCTGTAAAGGAGATCTTTACTTTACCACGACGCCGTGATCAAGATTTTGAATAAAATGAGTATGGGTAATCAACCTTAGTAGACCATGAAAATGTGACGTCATAACTCTATTAGGTTTGTGAGCATATCGTGCCTAAAACATAATTAATATATATTAACGTTGATATACCACAATTTGTGCTTCAGGTGTCGCCAATGCTAGCGATCTCATTGCGGCTAGACTGATATCACAGTTGTTATAATGGGAACAAACTACCAAACGTATTTGATTTGAACGTATTGGAGATTGAATCTTATTAAAAAAAAATTAAAAGTTGACCCGAATACGGTACTTAATAAAAGTTTTTAAAGGTGATACAATGCAACCGATACATTAAAAACAATTTTATTAAAAATACATGATCCTCGAAAGAAGAATTGCAAAGATACATTATATTTAGTTTGCATTAAATATTTTATTGTTTGTTTTCATCAAATAGATTCCGGATCTATTGGACCGATTTTAAAAATTCTTTCACCTACAGAAAACTATATCATACGCGGTTGTTATAGACTATGATTTACTTGGGCGAAGTCGCGAGACACCATATAGTTATTATAATTCTTTATTTCTGTATTTGAAAATTAAAAGTTATGTTTCTATGAAATCTGTGTTGGTTAAGTTTAAATTTTGATTATGTGTGTAGGAAGGTGACAAGGCGACAGCTCGTTGCATGTCTTGTCCGGACGCGCGTTGTAAGCGGGAGTGTAACGGCGCACGCATCGATTCTGTAGCCGCCGCGGAACAGTTCCGCGGCTGCACACACATCAAGGGCACCTTCGAGATCTCACTCCGGGCCACTGGTGGTGAGATACCAACATATTACATAGAAACATGTTACTAGTGAACTACTCCCGCTGTTATAATTCAACCGGCCGATTAGCAAATTAAAGTTATCTTGATGCAAGACGTATGTCTCTTTGTGGCTGACAAAGAGACATACGTCTTGCATCAAGATAACTCTAGCTGTGGCTAGCCTACTTGCTTTCTTAACAGACCCCTCTCCAAACGCAACATTGATATTGCGGTCTGTTTCTGCCGCGTTACTTCTGCTCCGCGTCGAAACTCATATTCAAAAATCACTCGAATTATCGCAGTATCCATCTATCTCGTCTAAGTTGAATAACAAAAACAATTGAAAGTCAATATTCAAATGTTTCACATTTTTTAAAAGAAGAACATCATAGAAACCATGCGAAAAAAGTTTCTTACGAAAACCTCAAACCATGAAGATTATATGTCAATTCAAGGAACCTATTACAATAAAACGGCAATTTCATACTTTAACCCCTATATGATACAACTAACATGGCTCACCGATGTATTTCCAAAGAAAACATGAAGGCTAAGCTCAAGCAGCTGATTCAAGTAGAAGCCCGCGAGCTCTACCTCCTCCGATCGTGAGTGAGATGGATACCTAATACGTTAATTTTACAAGATTTACGAGTTACAAATTCGTTATTAGATTTTCAACATTAAGTCGTTCATGTTTAAGTCCAAAATAAATTTCTAAAGCTTTAACATTTTTGACAACTTTTATATCCTCCTTCAAAAGGTGAAATGACCTCTACCAAAAAAATCTTTGCAATTATACCGTAGAAATGTGGCATACTTCACACTTAATCTATAACAACTAATAACTGTTATTTATTATTAACAGGTAACGCAATGGCTGCCTTAGAAGATTCACTAGGAGAAATCAGGGAGATTGTAGGATGCTTGAAGGTAACGAGGTCGTACACACTGATCTCATTGATGTTTTTGAAGAAACTCAAGACCATAATCGGCGTGCCTACTGAGAACAAGTAAGTAACGTATTATTTACAAAATAAAATCAAAAAACCTAATTAAATCGATTTACTAAGAAGTTTGACAACTGTATTTTCATTAATTTGATTGCGTTATTTTTAAGTTAGTGAAGTTCTTTAATTGTGAACTTATAGGTATTTGAAATATCTATATATCATACCTTTGCGCCCGATCCGTTGTGGTGTAGTCAGAGAAGATCGAACTCTAAATTGCAAAAAAATTTGAAATAGACCATCAAAGCCTCGACTATTCTTACTTTGCTATAGGACAGAAAGTTGTAGTAAACTATCTGTCGTCACATGTATATGCATAACACGTCAAACTTTGTTTAAAGAGTAGTAAGCAAAGAGTTGTGACGGGTACGGTGCTAGTTATTTGATGGAAAATGAAACTGCTGACTAGGCTTGATATGTTGGTATATTTATAGACTAAATAAAAAAAAATCTGTAACAACAAACACAAAAGAATATAAAAACAGTTCGTATGAATTTCTAAAAATATGATATACCGTTACACACCCTTGGGTTTATTTAGAAGATACGATGCAAATTTATACACATTCACTCCATAAATGTAACTTGTAAACCACAACATAGATTTTACATGTACATACTAAAAATATTTTATTAATTTTCAATGATGATCGTATTGTTGCCTGAAGATTTTTTACGAACTAATATTCAGAAAGAGCATAATTCGTATTTTCAAATTACGAAAAATGAATAATAAAGAAGAAATGATCTTAAAGAACAAAGACCTAAAGTTTGGATGCGGAAACTTAGTACAAAATAAATGGTGTGGTATGACGCATCGTTACAGAGTAAAATAATAGTGAGCATGCATAGTAGGAGTCTAATATTTTTGATATTTGTAATTAGAAAGAGTCTTATTCAAATATACATCGTTGCTACATTTGGATGTAAGAAGGAAGGAAGACTTCATTTCCAAATTAAAAAATGTCGCAAAAAGTTTAGTTACTAAACTGTCTATTCTCAATTTTTTTTGTTATGTAAGGTGTTATTATGTTAATTTAGTTCATGTTCATAACATTGATATACCTTTATATTTGATTTTTTTCAAAGGGGTCAAGCTCTACATGTGTTCAACAATCCAAATTTGGAGATATTGTGGGATTGGAGTACGTTTGGTGATCTTAACATTACTGGCGGCAGTCTCTATATTCATCTTAACCCGAAGTTGTGCTACTTTCAAATACTGCCGCTGCAGAGAATGACACACAACCCGCGCTCCAACTTTACCGAAATAGAGGTGTCTGAAGACAACAACGGTGACCAGGCTTCATGTACGTCCGTGTTTGATATTATCCAATTAATTTACTTAACAAGTAAAATTTAAAATTATAGATGATATTTTATATAAAAATTAATATCGGCAAACATTGTTTTGCATTTGAAATTAGGGTGGACCACCCTTATTATTTGGGGATCCCAACTTGGGTTACCTGGAAATTTTGAATATTTAATGCCTTTTTTAAGATATACTATTGTTATTGCAAAATTGATTAAATATAATAGCGTATTTATTTTATTCCGTTCTCGTATTTAAATAGTGATGAAAGTAAACAAACATTTAATACAGCCTCCCTTATTATATTAGATGCGCCTTTATTTTTTTTTCTTCAGGTTCTCCAAAGACCCTACAATTGACGGTGACACTACTGCGTTACGACGCGGCACTATTGCAATGGGATACGTATTGCGTGTCCGATATCCGCAAACTGCTTGGCTACTCTATATACTACATTACCGCTGAGAAGAACGTCACGCTATACGGACAACGGGATGCCTGCTCTGACTCGTTAGTATAAATAAGTCAATATTAAGTTTACCCTATATTAGCCTTTCAGGACGTTTTTTTAAAGCATTTCTGTGAGGTCAGGACAGGAACAGTCTGACTCGGTGAGAACAGTGGCTCGAATGTGCTGAGCTTATGGTTGCATTCGTTTAAAATGAAAAAGCCTCAGTCCGCGCTACATAAGGCTGGACATTAGGCCTTTTTCTAAGAACAGCGAATATCCACAGTTTTTAACAGCAATTTAACTATCGTCTGTCTCTATATATTCTATTGCCGAGCGTAATGATATACATGTATGAGAATATTTTTTCGTTGAATACTCAATAAATCTCGGTAAAGAACAAACGACACATATGAATCAATTTTCCCGCCTTTACGCTCTCATAAGAAGAAATTGTTATTAATGATTACTCATATGTCTGTCCGTTCGTTGACTTAAATTTTTAGGAAATCTTTATCACACAACTTTCAGTTGGAACGTCCTAGATGTGACCATAGATGAAGCGCGCGGTCACAACACTACTGCCATAGAAGACCCAACTCTGGAACTCACCGACATATGTAACCAGCAGAATCAGCCACAGTTCAAGATAATCCGACCGCTCATACCGTTTACACGATACGCTGCCTACGTGAAAACTTATACCACGCAACAGGACAAGATGGGCGCGCAAAGTCCTATCATTTATTTCAGAACTTTGCCAGGACGTGAGTAAATTTTATTATTATAGATATTGTCTCAGAACTTTTTTCCTCACGTCTAATATAATAAAGGTTATACTCGTTATTTAAGTATTTTTCAATAAGAATATTTTCCAGTATAGCATTATGAATGCAAAATTGATCAAATATAATAAATAATTTATTGTCGTAGGGCCGAGTCCACCAGCGGGTCTGGTGGTTGAGTCTACGGGGCCACACTCTGTGAAACTTAAGTGGTCGCCGCCAATAATGCCCAACGGCACTATAATGCTGTACCACGTCAAGATACAGGCCAACAGCTACAACCGTCCCAAGATACTCGCCTGGAGGAATAACTACTGCGGGAATCGTAAGTAGTGATGCCACTCACTCGCTTAACTAATTATATGTCTATGGCTATAAATATTATTAATTTTCAAAGTCGAATTTGTTTTATTCAAAATTGAAGATGAACTATTTATAAAAGCTTTGCAGACATACATGCTCTTAAAGATAGATATGATATCGGTTAGAAAGGGAGAGATGATCTCGGTACCATGTTTGTCCATTTCTACCGACGCATGCCTAATTAGCACGGAATGATAAAATATGCTCAACGAACGATCCAATGCTTTAGTTATAGATTTCTTTTCCTGCGCATGTATGTTATACCTTGATTTTCTTTCTCTTTGTGATAGTGAAAAGTTTCCGTTTGGTGAAAGCCATATGTATTCCTTCCTTACTTAAAAATTATCACGATAATATTCTACTTTTGATTATGTACTTGAAAAACCCCTAATTTGGATTAATGAATGCTTTGTTTGTATGTTTGTTCCTACAAATATAATAAATCTTCAGAAATGTTGATCCGACCATGAAAATTCATTCATCTATGGAAAGCTACGTTATGCGAGGGTGACATAAGCTATTATTTACGCGGTCGAAGTCGCGGGAAAACATGTAGTTGTCTAATATAGGTGTAAAATTTTTAGCTAATGCGCTTGCCAGCATAATCGCGGGAGGTCGTGGTGAAATCACTCCAGAGAAGGAAGAAGCGAAGGCCACGGGAGACGTGAAGAACGGTTCATGCTCTTGCAAAGAGGAATCTCGTCCCAGCACCAAATTTACTACACGTGCCGAGGAAGAACGAGACGAGACAATAAACTTTGAAAATGAACTACAAAATGGAGTAAGTTATCTTTTTTGACGTTGCCAAATAGTACTTACTGTGTAGAAGTGTGTATAGTAAATTCTAAATAAAATGGCGCATCGGGAACTAATCTAATAATTCCAGTCAATGAATTTTGTTTTATTCACCATTAGGTGTAAAATAAAATACAAAGCACTAGGTTTCCGCCCTTAGATATTACACTTACCTACCAATGTACATACGGCTGCTCGTCAGGCTACCACAGTATGTAAAATTTCCTTAATCGATTTTGAACTGTACCAACGATGCATTAAGGTTAAATATCAATTTGGACAGTTTTGTATAGTGCTTTTGACTATGCATAAGTTACATTACTATGAAAGTAGTTTTATGGAATCAGTTTTTTACAGTCAGTACAATCAATAGCACCTAATGTTATCATAAACTCAATTTCTACAATACATTTTAATTCAGTACGAATATGTTGCAAAAATTCAACATTTCACAGTAACCAGACGTGGTGTAATTTAAAAAAATATCGTATTTTGTTTCAATGTTTAAAAATCTGTATTTTTATAGGTGTACATAAAATCAGAACGTGCCAACCGTGAGAGTGCCGGCAACGTACGCGCCCGACGTTCGATCGACTTCACGCTGAACAGCATGCTCGTCATACTGACGGAGAACTCCGATCCCGTGCTCGGCTTCAATTACACCAATTCTACAGACAGAGACGGTAAGAATCACCCGCCCTACTCTCACTGCGGGATTCCGTATTCGACCTATTTTTTACGCTTCACCTCTAACATAACGTAGAAGAACATATCGTAAACGAAGCTCATTATCAGTGTGCAAACATTACTTTCACTTTAATCATAATGACCATTAACGCAACCTTGATGCAATCTTCTATATCTGTGCTTTCTCTTCATCTCTGTTCATGCTTGTAATCGTACACGAACCTCATCACGTCCATATCGACATTTTCGTTTCAGCCAAATGCAGTCACGTCGAGCCTTATGTTTGCATCGTAAAGGACAATACAACAGGTTACAACCACAGAAATATTTGTTTTATGTCACGGGTATCCGGTTGCTGCATGCACTATCATCACAGATGAACCGATTCCACGTTAGCATCGATTTTCTTTTTATTTCTTACACTGGATGAGCGAAGCGATCGGAGCATGATTTAGTTGAGTAGAAGGTATCATAATTGAATTGCATGAGTTTTTTAGACAATATATAATTTTACAATATTGCCGCGCTCATCTGGATGATTGACTTGGAAACAGCATGTGACAATTTTACAATATTTTATAGTAGTATGTTGTATTTAAGTATTTGATAGAGTAAGTTTTGAATCAAAGGGAATAATTGAAAGCTTGTTTTTTCTTTTGGTAATGATAAATGAAAGTTGCATTTATTTTAAGCTTTTGTTATTTACAGTGACCATTGATCTTTTTCTTCAACAATAAATTATTTTTTGTTTGAAGTGGTTGCTGAGATAAGTAAATATATAAAATATTAGAAGTTTCATCGGATTTGTACAAGAACTAACCCATTATTATTATACCATAGTTCAAACTTAAGGGAGATAAAATAGAATTTGAAACTAGCTAACCAAGATACACACATAGTGAAAGTTTATATCGATCGCGATTTGAACATTGATCTTTCATCACAGGATAAGATGCTGATTATCAAATCAAACATATTTATTTGACGATACAGTAAAATAAATAAAGCAGGTCATATGCCATAACATTCATGTCCCCATTACCTTTTCAGTTTCGTTTTTGGTTTAATATTTTCCGCCGTTAAATAAGTCGGTAGGTAGGTAATATGCGAAATATGGTTTGAACTATATATTGCCAAAAATATTATATTCCGTTCGTATGACTTAATGACATATTAGTTAATATAATATCTATAATTATGTTACATCGATTTTAAAACGTTTAATGCTTTTGTTGCACCCACAGGTTATGTGCAGTCCTTGTACTACCAGTTGTCGAGTAACACCACATCGCTATCGGTGCATGACATGCGCCATTTCACTTGGTACACGGTGAACGTATGGGCTTGCCGTCATAGCGAAGAGAACGAGCAAGAATCTGCGTACGCTGATCTATGGTGCTCTAAGCGTGCTTACAATATTTTTCGCACTCAAGAACTCGGTAAATATTGTGCATAGTCCAGTTTTTCATGAACATGATTATAATTAAAAAAAAAGACACTAAAACAAATATCACTAGTTGGCGGCACAATGCTCGAAACAATTCTGACATGTAACAAAACCGATTGAAGGTGTAATTTTAAATTGTGATTTTCTTATTATTCCATATCTTAAAGAAGGGAACGATGATAATTTGACACTAGGTTTGACGCAATTTTCAAAGTACTTAAACGATTTGAGGTTAATAGCTTCGTTACATCTGAGATGCTACTGGACGTGAAGTATATTTACTAGCATAGATCCACCAATTAGGAATTCAAAATAATAGACTGGACCTATTGCTATTTTTAAGATACTTGACTCACCCAGTAAATTACACGATTTTCGACCCTATAGAATAGAGATCATTTTGCATGTATGCGTTGTGATCACTGAGTATTATGCTCCATATCACAAATTGCAAGGCAATAGAGGAAAAGATGCTTAAGGCATGGGCCACATGCTTAAGGTATTGCCTAAACTTGTAAGAATCGATTTAGATTCTATTCGTTTGTGAATAGGGTTCTCAATAAACTAACGGCGTCTGGTTTGACCAATAGGATATTCCACTCTATTTGAAATAACACTTGTTCATGACATCATTGGGATATGTATGATATGACAAAAAATTACGACTCTTCATTTTAAGATAATAAGATAATCGTGCGATTTTAAGACTCAAAATCAGAATTTATGTTTATGTTTATTATGATGTAAATTTTAGTTTTTGTGCAACTACGTGACTTATTTTTCACTACCGAAACTATCCTATTACACAGTGAAACTACTAATACTGGGTAGACTACTAGGAGGATTGGGTGTTTGGATTGAGTATTCAATAACATGACACAATTAAATTAACTTTCGCTTCAACTTCAGAATGTATGGTGAGCAAATAAGGAACGAGATTTATTTATTTTTTATAAATACAACGGAATACAGTACCTTGACAACCCGAAGTTATAAAATGGCGAAGTTAAACTTATTTAGCGAACTTTATTTTCTTTGTTGTCAATACTAAAATAACAGTTAAGCTGTGAAGTTGGTAACTAACCCTATTCTTTACTTATTTGGCTCGCATAGTACATAATAAGTACATAGTTATTTATCCAACACTTTTTAACTTTTGCAGCGAACGCGGACGTCGTGAAGAACTTGCATGCCGAAGTTATAGCCTCAAACAAAACTCTGCCTGACGTCAACGTGACTTGGGAACCGCCGCACAATCCTAACGGATTTGTTGTCGCCTACAACGTACATTATACACCAATAGAAGATTCTAACGAGGTTAGAAACAATAAGTTTTTATAGTTAAATTGCTTCAGTTATTAGTACTTTTATCTCCAATACAAAATATATTATTTGTAATGAGCACAGCTCATTAAAAATTTAAGTATAAGTTATTTTGCCACCCAAAATTTATGTTCAAGAGAGACGTTAAAAAATCGAGTTGTAGAGTTTTTGACTTATGGAGGATTTTGACTTAAGCGGATTTAGATCAACACACTAAATAGAAATAAATAAAAAAAATACATAGAATAGGAATAGTGATAGATGCGGCGAACCCGGTCGCTCGAAGTATAAATGAGGAAAGGAATAAAAGAAAGAGAAGGAATGAAGAATGAAAGGATAGTAAAAGAGATAGAACTGGAATGAATGTGGAAAATAGAAATAAAAAAGGCCTGCTACTAAGTGGGGTGCAGTCGTAGGGCCCGGCCAAAAATGTAAGGTCGGGCATTAAAAAAAATAAAAAAAAACCTTGTGATAAAATATTGGCTGATTATAAAAAAATATATAAATCAGTATTAATGACCCTATTACGTAATTAAGTCACTTTTTCAATAGGTATTATCTTCATTAAACAATACAATTTGATATTAATGTGTACAACAGGCTCCAGATGTAGGCTTGCAAACTTGCCTCATGGCGGACGACTATGAAAGCAACGGGCGATCACACATGATTCGCAACTTGCACGCCGGCAACTACAGTATACGAGTCATACCTATCACTGTCAGCGGGGCGGGGAACGGATCTGATATATACGTCTACATACCGGTAAATATACATTGGGTCTTTTCCTTTAGTATAAATATGTTTGAGTGAACATTTTCTATTGAAATTTTAAATGTTTAGATTGTTAGCATAATTGTTTAAAAAATCGACTCTAAAGAAAAGACTAAAGTAAAAAAAAGCTCGCTATAAAGTATAAACTACGTCTGTTACTACGTTACTGAGTGGCTCGCATGCCGGTGTTAAGGTGTCTCCACCTCTCAAGACCCGGGTTCGATTTCCGGTCGTGTCTCGTGGAGAAAATGAACTTTTCTACATTGTCTCAGGTCTTGGTGTTGTGGTGCCTGAGTTGGTACAGATTATTTATTCATGTGTTCCAGCGACAAATATAGGCTATAGTACCCGCGTATGATGTAGCTTCCCGTATAAGAAATCATTTTGTTTAATTCATTTCAAATTAATGGTATTAGTATATAACGGCAGGTAGTCCGAAGGGGCTATCACGAAGCCCAAATAGATAATCCATATCGGAGGACTATCTTTAAAATAACACTGCAGGCGTGTATACCAACGTGGATTTGTTCCATTTTATCACTTTTCACATGAAAATATAACGAGATGAGCGTGATGTCGTCAGATGTCTTTACTCCTCGGCGATCGGAAACAGAATGTGTGTCAAAATGGCGGCAACTTGGTTTTTATAAACGAACTGTCAAAGTCAGTGTCACCATTCTAATAAAATTAAAAGTATCGATGATCACGCTCTCTTTACAATCGAGTAATTAAGTAATCGAGTAACTAGCAATTAAAATAAAAGAAACTAAATCATACGATCTTCGTAATGATGATGCGACATATATAATTTTTAAAATCGCAATCGTTTTCGTGATGAAACAAAATGAAAACTTATCTAAACCCGTCGAAAGATTGTTGTTAACATACAACTTTTTCGTTTGACATTTCTCAATAGCTTTGAAAGATATTCGCGCCTAAGCCTTGCCTGCCTTAGAGACTTCCAATCAACGTTAAATCTTTCATATCTTTACTATATTAGTGTAGTATATTGTTATATTAGTATAGTATATAGAATATTATTAGTATATAGTATATTACTATACTATATTAGTATAGTATAGATACGATTTAACTACCTTACCTATCTTGGAATCCAAATAATTCTATGTGATGTTGTCTTATATTTATGTTTAATTGTTCTGTTAGGAGCGCACCCTAGAGTCCGGGTACGAATGGGTATGGGGTCTGGTGGGCGGTTGCCTCGCGATGGCTCTAGTGGCTGGCGGTGGCGTATGGTACGCACGCCGCGGCGTACTCTCGCCCGCTGAGGCCAACAAGCTGATCGCGTCCGTCAATCCGGAATACGTACCTACCGTATACGTGCCCGACGAGTGGGAAGTGCCGCGTACCAGCATACAGTTCGTGCGCGAACTCGGCCAGGGGTCTTTCGGCATGGTGAGTATAACGCGTCCGAATTAATATAACTGTTGACGACAGCTTTGCCAGCCTCTTTAGATAAGTGTTTTTATATTTTATAATTTGAATTTTATATGACTTGACGCTTATCGTTTATATTTGTCTTTGCTGACTCTGGTATCTTTTTTTTTCTATTCTTCATAAATATGATCTTTTTCGTGCTAAATTATATCTAGATCCATTGTGCTCCTGCTGTCGATTACAATAATATCTGAGGGCCTATTCTGTTTGTAATTCAAAATTTCTAATGGTTCTTTTTATTCAGTTAAAATCATATCTGTTAAAATATCTGTGCATCAGAATTCAGAAGTGTCAGGTCTTACCTCAGTAGCATCATAAATTACCGAAATAGGTTACTTTCGATTTCGAAAATAGGTGATATTGCGTTACCGGAAAACTAGAATAGGCCTTCAGGTGTCACGTTAATTTGTACGAATATTACTGTAGATTGTTATCACACGTCAATTTTACAATTCCGAAGCACAATTATATCACATAGTAGACATTTACATGACAAAAAAAAAACAAAAACAGAACTGAAATAAAAAATAAAATAACATAACATATGTGATTGCGTCTCACAACTGCACCAAAATATAGGTCACCAATTCAGTTATGTTAGACTAGTAGACTGACGTTGGTATTCAATAGGCACTGTATATTTCTCTTTTTCGACACAAGGTTATCAGTGAATACTAAAATGAACTAACTTAAAACATCGTAAGTGATCAGTGGTTTCAGTTCATGGAATTTTACTTCATTACTCAATATATTTTTGATTATTACAAATCACAAACATATAAAGAAAAATATTTAGATTTAATCTTTAAATAATTCAGATACATTTAATATAAACAATTCAGTTTTTGGAATGGCTGAGTTTGAATTAAGTATATCAATTATAAAACAATAAATAGCTGCCCGATTCTTATTTTTTGTAAGACGTTAATTGCGTTCTTTATTAAATATAATAATATTATTGAATTATTATTGAATAAATATGTATGTAAATTGTAAAATATCTATTTCTTGATGCAAAATATTGATATTGTAGACGAACCTCAGTGGTTTATTACAATGTTGTAAGAATGAAAATAAACTTTTTGTGGATACAATAATAAATGGAAATGAAAAACAATTATAAAATATTACTCAGTTAGAATGTTAAAAATAAAATAAATGAGGAAGTATTTAAAAAGAAAAAAAAACGAAAGCAAAAAAAAAAACCACCTCCACTCGATGGCGACTCTAGCAAAAGTTGATTTTTGCAGGAAACAAATGGGCCAAAGACAGTCATTTCCGTTCCTTTTAACTAACATTTAAAAACTGAAATTTGTTAAGTTCCAAACTTAGATATCAATACAAATACGCAAAAGTACAAATTGAGTTTTGAAAACTAAATTACTTTTAAATTTGAAAGTAAACCGGAAAGGTTGTCATGGAGAAATCAAGAATGTACCGTAGCGACATCCAGTTTGATTTCGGCAACTATTTTTTTATTAAATACTTCCTCATTGAATTGATATCAAATAATATGGATAATTGTGTGTATTTGGTACCATAAAACTATGTATTAGACTCTTATATTCTTCTCTTGTTTTCAGGTGTATGAGGGTATTGCGAAGAACATTGAAAAAGGCAAACCAGAAACTCGATGCGCTGTGAAAACTGTCAATGAGCATGCCACTGACAGGTAAAATGTTTGCTTCTCCCTATTAGTTTTAGAAATGTTTTAAATAAAATAACGTAAATTTAAACTCATTATCACCAAGTAATTCATTATTTGAACATCAGACGAATTGTTATATTTCTCAAATATTAGCAGTCAAGTAAATTGTCAAAAATTGAAGATTTTGAATGGTAAAGCGACTGATATCTTTTAAGAATTAATTAAACCACTATAAGATTTTTCTTCTTAGTTTAATGAAATGTGACGTCATACGATTCTCCATCATGGCCGCACGTACCGGTTTTTATAGTCCACAGATTATAAATCTAACTTAAAATTTGGCAAAACAAAATACACTTACAATTTATTTTTAAACAAAACTACTACAAAAATATTTTTTACATATAATTTACCATTTCCGACATATTTCAGAATTTACAATTATAGTTTTTATTGTATCGTATAACAGGGAGCGTATCGAATTTTTGAACGAAGCGTCAGTGATGAAGGCGTTCGACACGTTCCACGTTGTTCGGCTGTTGGGCGTGGTGTCTCGCGGGCAGCCGACCCTCGTGGTGATGGAGCTGATGGAGCTGGGCGACCTGAAGACGTACCTGCGCTCACACCGCCCTGACGCGGAGGTCGACCTGCCCAGGAAGGGACCGGCGAATCCGCCTACGTTGCAGAATATACTGCAGGTTAAATCATTTTTATTCCCTCTTACTTTATTACTAAATAAATGTATCTTGGGTTTTTCATTAAAGCTAGTTTGATGATAAATAAGCAATTCAATAACTGAATAAGTACTTTATTCAATAACTTTAACAGGCTTACGGTTGAATGAATTATTGAGTAAATGAACTTGTTGAGTTCAAGTATAATAAACATGTTTATTGAGCTTAAAAGTGTCAAATGCTAAAAAATCAAGAGAGCTTAATATAATACATTAATTTGAAATATAGGATCTATCAACAAGATTTTTTCGATTTAATGTGGTAAGAGCAATTGTGTATACTATTGCTTTTTAGTTGGGTACCTTGACTATTAACTACATGAAAACATTAAATTTTAGTTTTTATGCAATTTCGTGACTTAAAAATAAGTACCGACTCTACCCTTCTGTAGACATTCAGCAGTTAACAATACTAAATTTAATCAAGTAACAATTAATTAACGAATAAATCTGCGCAAAAATTACTTTGCTCTAGTCTCATTTGTTATTCTCAATGAACATCAAACTTTAGAATAAACAATAGTGTTTATTTCACAGATGGCTATTGAAATAGCAGACGGTATGGCCTACCTATCGGCCAAAAAGTTTGTGCATCGCGATCTAGCGGCGCGCAACTGCATGGTCGCCGGCGATCTCACTGTGAAAGTGGGTGACTTCGGTATGACCAGAGACATTTATGAGACTGATTACTATAGGAAAGGCACCAAGGGCCTACTGCCGGTGCGATGGATGAGCCCCGAGAGCTTAAAAGATGGGGTGAGTACATTAATCATTTTTTTATCACTTTATACGCAACATACTCAAGGAAAGTTTCAAAGTAATATAATATAAGAGAAAGCCGCTCAATAATCTTGGTCAAATCTGGCTAATAAAGAAGTAGGTGGTAAATCTACTCGGAGATAAATGTAAAGAATTGTATAATACTTGTACATTGTATGAACTAATATAAACCATTGCACACATGAACGCTCCAAAACTTGTGAATTTTAATGGCAGCCATTCATTAGCTAGGTGTAAAGAACATCCATTTTGTCTTTTTTGGCTCAGATTAATGTGTTATTAGCCTAAAATTTGAATCTAATTTAGTGGACCTTTTGAAATTAGAATAATGAAAACATTGCTCTTACGCCGATGGGAACGGTTTGTTATTGGCTTTATATCTCAGCGTACTGTAATAAAAAAAATACGTCATAACTACAGAAAAAATAAAATATAGATGAAGGTAACAATACACACTCGTTGGTGATCGATCCCTTATCCCCACTTACGCTTCTTTGTGAATCAATTACTGTTCTTTGTAATAAAATAATAACTGTTTTTGTAGTCAAGAGCTCTCGTGAATTAACGTCTTCCTTGTTTGCGTTATTCGATAGGTCTTCTCCAGTGGTAGTGACGTTTGGAGTTATGGTGTCGTTTTATGGGAGATGGCGACGCTCGCTATGCAACCTTACCAGGTAAGCCTTGTTGTCTTTTACTACCGCAGTTTTTTCCAAGATATTAAGTATCTAATGCATTAACTACTAAACTGTCGCGTCATATTTGTAAATAGGAAATAAATATTGTTCGTTGAGAAGCGCGTGGGTATCTTAAAATTGGCTATTGTAGTGTCAGCGTCAAATTTTAAAAATATTGTCCAGTTTTATTGGTCTCACAAATGACACGGCCACGTGTTACTGTGGCTTATAATGAATTGAAATTATATTATATTATTCTGGTTATCCAATATAGATAGGAAACGATGTTGAAATATTAATTTAACTGCTATCTTTTAAATTTTTCTGCACAGACTTACAAATAATTACATTACATCAAGTTCACATTTCAAAAGCTTATATAAAAATGAGAAAATTTTCGCACAAATTTGTATTGCAGTAATTCGAATCTTTTTTCTTTACTAAACAATTTACTGCGTTGCGAATTGGTATTGCGCCGGCCGATACGCATCTTTGAATAGCATGACATCGTGACATGACAAAAGTACTATCTTTTGTTTATTTAGAGATGTAATGAATGAATGAATGAATAAATTCTTAATTGTAAAATATAATTCTAGAATATGACAATTGATACAGTTTAGTTGTACAATCGGTGGCTTTATCGCTATATATATTATATCGGTGGCTTTATCGCTATAGAACAAATTCTTCCAGGCTACCGCAGGTTAGACTGGACTATTATTTAAATAGATGGGTAGTAGATGGTCTTGTGTAACCTCTGTAGCTTTCTCACTTATTATAATTTTATCGGGGCAGGGTCTGTCAAACGAGCAAGTCGTCCGGTACGTAGTGTCCGGTGGTGTGATGGAGCGTCCGGAGCACTGTCCGGACCGTCTGTACGAGTTGATGCGCGCGTGCTGGGCCCACCGCGCCCACCAGCGGCCTTCGTTCCTCAGACTGGTGGCTGATCTGGCACCTAACGCCCACCCATCTTTCCGTCACCGGTCATTCTTTCACACACCGCAGGGACAGGAGATGTACGCGTTACAGCGATCCACAGCCGGTCAGTATTATAAATATATATAATTGTTTCTTTACTTTTGATCTGAAGACTTTGCATGGACTATTTAATAATATATAATAAATAAATGTTTTGTCCTCGCTACATTTTGAGCATAGCGAATGTGCGCCATATTACAACTAGCACTACAGTATACGCTATGAAGTAATAAGAAGTGTCGTACAACTTTGTTTTTAGGAATGAGCGACATTGCAAGTATAATGAGGCGGGACTGCGCATGACCTAATGGGGAATATGCATATTTATTTTAAATATTTTCGTTTGACGATTTGTATCGTTATATAACTGTATAAATATACAAGGCGTCGAAAAATAAATAATGAAATAAATTATATTTACGTAGACGTACGAGTAGTATAGCCTTAAAATGTAGTTATTTTTAACAAATAAGTGATCCGGGAATTCTTTATATTTTTTATTCTTGAAATTGTACTTTCCTAGAGAGATAGAGCAATTGTGAGGGATGAGAAGGGGCAGTAATGAGCTTGAGCTGCCTTAACTCGCTTGTGACACGCCAGTCAGGAGTGATATACTTTTAAATTATTATTTTTTATGTTACTATATGAGTCCTTAATGTGTAGTGAGAGAGAATTATATTTCATAATTCCCTACTATGTGTAAGTGTGAAATAGTCTTAACAAAAATGAAATCCGCCGTACGGCTTTTTATATAAGAAAGATCCCTTTTAGTTTGTTAAAAGAAATAAAAAGCGACAGAAATATATCTTGAAGAGTCATCTCGTTTTCTTTTTCGTTCAGATTAATCAACTGTGTTTTTGCGGTCAATCAGAAGATATTGATTAGTTCTTTAACCGGTTAACCCGTTAACACAATGAACCGGTCCCTGGTAGAGTGAATCACACCGTAGTCATAACATGACAAAGATATCCCCTGACTATAATTAGCTTTCGAATATACATACATAATATTATATACTAGTTTTTATTATTACCTCTATAGCACAGTTCATTGAACATCAATTTATTTAGCTGATAGCGTTAAATAAGCTAGATAATCTAGATTAAAAATGTACAATTGGCCTTCATCAGTAAATGATAACATTAGAGGTGTGCTATATTTGAATACTACTGATACTAATACTATAATTTATTTGGTTGCCTGGTTAGCCGTCACAGACGATGTATGTGGCGAGCAGACGGCACATTAACCGTAAGTAACGGTATGCATGACACGAAATGTATAATGCACTTATGTTATCATTTCTTGAGTGGCCATGTTTCATTCAAGCGACTAGTCTAATCGGGTTAGGGTAGCGGTAGCACTGCTGTACTCTATATACTGTAGTATTATTGGGATATTTCACTTTACTCTTCGCATGTTTCAATTATTCAGCATAAATTCAAAGTTAAATAGATAAATTTTAAGCATTTGTTATGGTTTTCATATCTCAACGCAATACTTCTCATATAAACGCTTCAAACACGAAATCTTTCGCTGATTAGATATTTTCTTTATAGTAGTAGTCAATAGGTCCCCGCCATAGATACTACATTTGTTTATATTGTTTCTAACTTTGCTTATTTTTGGGTTGAATTTAAAATATGATAATGAAAATATTTGACATTAATTAAAAAATTAACAATTCCTGATCTTATTTTGTTTTAATAAAATATTTTAGTAAGTTTTAATATTCCTTAGAATTTGCTATTTTCATAGAATCGTCTTATTATTTCGTAGTATCTATCGCTATCTGAATATAATTCAGCATTAGATATTGACTAACCATGCGCATTTGTTTTTATAAATTGTCTCAAATAAAAGCGGCGCGTTATTAAGGTTTCAATTTTATATGTGCCGGGCAGCACAGAATTTATAATATAGCTCTCTTTCCGCAACTTCCCCATGTATATTATAGCTTTCCATAAGTGAAAACATTGAAGATTATACCCTACGAACAAAGAGATCTAGAAACTTTACCTCTTTATTTTATTAGTAAAGATTACTCAAGTTCCAAGGCTGTCTCTTTCACATACTACGTACGTATTTCTCTTTGAATAAAGATTTATTTTGTTCGCACTAGCAGACGTAGGGATGAAACGATACCACCTAGGTATCGATATTTTAATCGATACAATATCGGTGATGAGGTATCGATACCTACTTGTATCGAATAATTTTAAATGCCTTACCATCGACGTCATTTTATAGATTTTTAGAGTAGATAGTGAATAGCTATACTCTGTTTACTTAAGAAAGAAGCAGGTCCAGACGTAAAAAGCGATGCATATAATTAGTTTGTAGTTAGATATTGCTTTAAAATTTTGCTAGGCGCTGCTAAATACATAGCCCCCTTTAAATAGATCTCTAACTACATAAAATTGTAGCGGTAAGCAATGCTTCGTCCCACGACAAGGACGCCGCCTCTGTTGGACTTTTTTATGAGACAGATTTTAAACACCTTACCGTATTATGTACCCGAGCTTATGACACTCCTCAGTGAGTGACAAACCATAAAAATATTTACTTAACGAAACTACTTGTTACTCGGTTATAAAGTATCAATGCCAAAGTAATGGGTATCGAAAGAAAAGTGTTTACTCGCTACTTGTATTGACTCGTATCTTTTCATCCCTAAGCAGACGAGGAACAGGAGATGCCTGAGGTGAACGTGGGCGCGGTCGCGACCGGTTCCGGTTCCAATTTGTTCGGCGTGTCCGGTCGGCTCGCTTCGTGGGTGCGCGAGTTGTCGTCCCTCCGGTCTCGTACGTCTGATGACGCGGCCGCCGAGCCCCTGCAGCCGGTGGGTGCTCCGCGGCCCGCTAACGGCGATCTACCCACCACCGGCTGCTAGCCGCCGGCCCCCGCGCTATAGTCCGTTTCACATAGCATGGGTACGGTTTCTTAACAAATCCATTTCACGCAATTTATATTGTTGTCGCAACAATTAAACTTAACTATATTTAAATTATGTCTGATAGGGGTTCATCATGTTGATGAATAAATATTATTATTCAATCCTGTTCAATATTTAAATATTGAACTCAAAATCGATTATTTCTATTAGAAAAGAACTCAAAAATATCGAGTTTTTGTATATACATTTCTAAAAACTTCAAATCCCAAACATAACCGTACCCATGCTCTGTGAAACGGACTATAGCGGCCATCGCGCGCTAGCATATCCCCCTCTATCTACCTCAGGCCTGGAGGCCCACCGGCGCGCTCGTCTTCCGCGGACAAGATTCGAATTTTTGTCGTATGTAGCAAACTTTTTTTTATATACAGCGTTACTTTGCAATCAGTGCACTTCTTTTTTCTAACACGTTTTTGAACATGTTCCCAACAATCTGTCAACATTACGGTAGCAATATTATAAATGGGAACGTGACTTTTTAACTTATTGTTAGTAAAGTTACTAGTGAAGTTTAAAATTTTTGCACTGGTTACAATTTTTTTCAGCAAACCTGATTCATTCGCTTTTTTAAATAAAACTTGGGAAATACTTTTTTGTTAATGCATAAAATATTAAGATCGTGTGATGGCTGTGGAAACGGAGTCATAAATCGGTTTTTGTATTTAACATTTGGATATATATAAAAGTCATGATATATATCATCGAACCTTGTCCGCGAGTCTCGTTTTCGTGCAGTTGACGTTTAGTGGACGTCTGTCATCGGCCGCTTCTGAATATAGGGGATCGGAACGCGGTCACTACGATACCCTTCACAAAAGTAAACTCTGTGCCAAAGTAAATAAAGATCATTTTATCGATGTGCGATATTCAAGATGCTTCTATTGAAGTCGGGTAGTGAAATCAGGGCCGGATTAGCCACGTAGCTATGGGCCCCACGCAATAGGGATGACGACTGGATAAAAAAAATCTATTTAGTCCATCAGTCAGTCAATAGAAAAATATTAGATACGTACTTTTTTAACTTCAATTTAATAAGAGATAGATAACATGCATTAAAATATTTTAGAACATGTACCAAAGCGTGTGTCATGTGATATTTTATCTTAATGTATCGCCGTTATTTAATGATTACGAATAAAATAAAAAATACGTGTTTAATATTTTTCAACAATCTACCTGACGGACAAGCAAACAAAAATTAGTCGTCACCCCTATTGGAGCCTCGCTATGATTCAGAGTCAATAAATACATTTTTCAGTCAGTGTTACATATGCAAGAAATAAAATAAACCACGTTAAAAAATTTGCTACAGGCCCCGTTCTGGCTTAGTTCGCAAACCTAAAACTACCACGTTTTTTTGGTTTACTTTTGTGCTGGGTAATGAACAAGTCGTGCGTCGACCGGGGGCTTAGGCTCTTCGAATTTTAGATGTAAGCGTAGCTAGTAAATCGTTTATTTATTGCATGCGTGCACCTTGGCGAACGCCCGGTCTAATGGCAGCTTTATCGATACTTAATAAGTATGAATTTGTACGCGAACGTTTTGTTTTTTTTTTTACTATAAATAAATTTGATCGGCGAAATGCTGAAACACTAAAAGTTTGAAATTTTCGAAAATTAACAGTAAATCTTACTGAAAGTTAACGCAAAAGAAGGAGGGAGCCGCCGGGGCGCACGCGCGGGTTTTTTCGTCTGAAAATTCGTTTCATATCAGGAAATTTAATATTTTTGCTGAGGCGATATTGAGAGTCGATCTGTTTCGACGTGAATCCTATATAGTTTACCTCAATAAAATAGTTTGTATTTGTGTCATTTTTGACATAGCCTATTAATGTTAAGTTTACTATATAAGATGTGAAGTGTGTATAGGTACTTTGACTAGGTCGTGTACGATTTTTTTTTTTAGTTCAGTTGTTAGCGTGCCACCGACGTTGTTTACTACGTTACACGCGAATGTCGAATCCGTCGATATTGTTGAGTTATAGTTATTGTTAAAAGCACTTTTTGTTGAAAGTGCATCGCGATTTACGGATTAGTCACTCGTGTGTTGTAAACATCTTTATGCAACTACGTAACAGACAACATCATAAATACATTTCATTCTAATGTCCGATTGTTTTTATTTTAAGACATTAAAAGTGTTCTCAGGCTGGGTTTTATATATATATTGTTATATAATGTACCTATCAAAGCTTTAAGTCTCTATTTAATTTCATTTTATATATTTTTTTTTCTGATGTGTCATTATTAGCTGCAAAAAGATTAATAACAAACAGCGATGGTCACCTATTTATCATTTCAATAGACTAACAATGACCGAAAAGCTATGTTCATAGTTTTATGTATTTTACTATACTCAGTGTTTTATTTGTGAAGCCAGCTGTTGTATAATATCACTAAGTTTATGAATCTGAAATCAATGTGTTCCCGATCAATTACACTGCAATAGAATATACCTTTCATTATTGTTACATAGTTATATATTACCTAATGTTATCACTAAGCTCGAGAATGTTAGGTGCTGGCAATTGCAAAATAAATGATGAAATGTACTTTTTAAACAAAATGTAATCTCGTTAGTTAATTTACTGCGTGAGTTATGATATAATATATATTTAAATATACATGTAGTCTGACTTGAACGAACGCGATTTTATCGTTAAATAGATAAATTTTAAGCCGTCGGAGACTGATTAGCGTTGTTATCAAATGACTATGATATTATCAATTTCGTTACAATGTTACGCACAAATCGGAATTGATGAGGGTAAGCCCTTCTATTGTCCTATTTTTTTTTTCACAGTATCAACTTAAGCATATACAGGGTAATTAGTAAAACCTTGTAGAAATTGATAGTAGACATCAAAACAATAAATTTCAACATATCGCAATAGGTAATTTTGTACAAAAATTATTTGTCATTTTTATATTGTTTGTATTGGTGTAACTTTTATAAGTATATATGAAAGAACGTCGCCATGTGCTCACATCGAGACCTCGTTGTGTTACTGACATTCAACGGGATTTTTTTATTAAGAAAGTAAAATATAATAAATTATTAACTCATGAAACGAACGAAACAATTATGATACATATTCATGTTGGTGTTTTACAAATATACCCTGTATATTTTTATTCAACGTGATGTTTTCAACATAATTTAATTGAATTTATTAAACAAATATTATTGCGCTGTCCGTCTCCGACTGTTATTTATAGAATATCAATCACGATAGCGATGTGTATTAAAATATTTTTAATGCAATTGATAATTATGAATTCTTAACATTTATTGTATTATACATATATAATAATTGTCAGCAGTTTATTGCTATAAATATTAACTATGTAACTTGACGCTAGCTACATAATATATTATGTGAATTCGCAATAACCAATGTATATCGGTCGGTCCTTTGCAACGATTATAGGAGTTTTAAACGTTATAACCACTTCCTAAGAGACTTTTCGGTAGCTCCATTGGACAATATTATGAAAACAACTTCTTTGGGACTTAAATATAGCAATTAAATATACGGTAGTTTTATACGATTGTTGCATATTCGTATATAAGAAATCTACCAAAGCAACGCTCCGTTATCCTGATTATAGTACGATAGATCTCAGATGGGATCTGTTGTTCTATAAGGAAATAGTAACAATAAAGATAATTTGGTATAAGGGTATAAACGAGTGCCTTCAGACATCCAGCCTTCAACAGAATGCAGGATTGTTTATTTGTGCGAGGTAAATTATACAAATTATATGCACAAATAGGGAATATTACGCAAAGTTCGGTGTAGAGGGCAGCACTGGCACATATAGTAAACAGATAGACCAAATTTACTTTTCTTCTATATTGCCGAACATTATACTTAAAGTTCCAAATGAAATCCTCGGAATACAATGTGGTTCTCTTTTTGCGACGTTTCTAACAGTTGCAAACACTGTTTGTGTCAGTGCTGCAATCTGACGATAGAAACTTGCAGTAATACGTTCTATCGATGAAAGTATTCTAGGGCGATATTCTATTTGTGTGTGGATTGTGCGTTTACCTCAAGTTGAGTAGCTTACCTAAATTGTTACAAGAAAAAAGTAAACAGTTGAGCAACCGTGCCGCAAGTTTGACTTTTACCGAGGCTGGTTTACGTGCGTGGCGTTGTTTAATGGACGTAGTTGATAATGATGGATTTAGCAGTACTAATGTATAAACGGCTGCACGTAAGGCTACCACAATACGTCAAATTTCGTCATTCGATTTTGATCTCTATTTTCAACGCATTAAGGTTAAAAATCAATTAGAGGAATTTGTCAGTTTTGTATAGTCTGACGTGCTGTTGAATGTACCGGTATGTGGCCGGTACGTGAGTACACGGGTCGCGTAATAATGTCGAGGGGCTCAAGGCACGTTGCATCTAACATATTTGTCGATAAAAAAATCTCTTATATAAAATTAGTTCCCAAAGTAAAAATCCAAATATTCTTTAATTTTAGAAATTGCATAGTGCCTTTTGCTCAATTTATGGAAATATAAGTTAAAAGTAAACGTACCAGTAAGCGTAATGTTAAATAAATTAGAGCTATATTTTTTTAAACTTCAAACTTAAATAGCAAAGTTTCATCATAACATATGTAACTGTTTGTTGAATGTTTTGGATGTATTTCTAAAGTAAGGAGGGAAGTAGATGCCTCGGTGGTTCAATGACATAGCACTTGGTCGGATTGCGAGATGTTGTGTATTCGGTTCCCATACCTGGCAGTGGTTTATTTCTAACTCTTGACATTTTATTCAGCTATATTTTTGTTCCATATCTAAATGATGTATTAGAAACCAGTCCAGGGCGGCTAGCGGGGTTTAGCAAAGGCTATATCAACGGACTGGAACTGCAATTGAAATGCCCCTTTATTGATTTGTAACAAGGTTTTAAACAGTATAGCAACTATAATGTAGTCTGTTACACAGAGAGCACTTCGGAACCTTCGTTCTTGTTAAGTTCTAGATGCTTAAAAACAAAACATGTACCTCACTTTTCTACATTTATCAGCGTAATATATAATAAAAATATGGGTTGTTTCACAGATTTTTTAAGAGTATTTGTATATTAAAACAGATATGTTATTTTTAATGAGGATTTCAATATTTTTTTTAATTACTATGAAGTACTTAAGTATATGTTATTTTGGCCTTATGATTCCGTGAGTTCATTATTATGATGCAACATTGTCGTTATGGGACTGTTATATAGTCCTTTAACCATAGCTAAAATATAAAATCGTTAAGATTCTGAAGTCCATCTTAATATATCTGTGACAGCTCATTATTATCAAATAGTTATAATACCGGTTATTATAAGTATTCATTATTATCAGTTTTTAGTTCAGTGGGAATATTTTCAATCTAGCTCAAGTACGTTAATACGGCCAATGCTGGATTACTTTATGTTAAAGAAAATTATCGGCGTGTGCAAATGATAGCAAACAGCGTATGCACTTCGTCCCTGAAAGCCTGGCGTCGACTAGGCTCAGCGAGTGTAATTGAATCGCAATAATTCGCCTCCTATATATTTATTCGTTCATGACGTGCCGAAACGCACTAACTCGACCCGAGTCCGAACGGATTTTTGCGGCGACGCGTTTTGTCTTAGTCGACGCTGGGCTTTAGCTTTTCTAGCCGGCCGCTTTCTTCGGGCTTTACCAATGTTATGTATATTTATCATATTATGCTCTTGTTATTTTTTATCAGTATTCACTTTTAAATTGTGATTTTTCACCTAGTAAGGCATTACCTCATTTTTTAGCAATTATATTATTCATAAATTATTGACTGATAAAATAATTTTCCAAATGATGTGTTCCTTGTGTGATTTGTGTGCGTGTTATGTGAAGTGTTGGGGTAGCGTTGTGCTTTATGCTCAATTTAGATACAATTCACCAAACGATTGAGATAGTGTACAATTTTTATATTTTATTTAATGAGAACCGAGTACCTATTAATAATAATATTAATATTTATATTAATAAAAAAGTTTAAAATTAGCGAAGCATAGTTTTGAATTCAAAGTGTATCCTGATATACCCCTTGTTTGAATATATTTTATAACAAGTTAAAAGGAAGCCTATACATTTCTCAATAAAATCAAATTTTTCGATGATACAAGCTTTTTATTTCTGTGGTAGTATTCTTCCCATATTTAATTTTAGTATAAGCGGCTTTCTGGGTATACGGCCTGGCACCTTGCACTCACAAGGTTTTCCTTCAGCGTATCGGTCAAGAAGTCTCCTTGCTCGTAGGTAAGCTTCTTCGCCGTTAGTTTTCAGTTTTCTTAAGTTCTTAATATAGTACTCTGGAAGACCATGTTCAATGCTTCCAGTTATTAACACCTCCCGGTAGGTCCAGGAGGGCCATCGTTCTACTGGGACTTTATCGTTGTCACCTCTTGGCAAGGGATTCACTTTTTGCTTAAGAGCCCGACACTTATATGATCCCATATACGGAGTGACGACTTCTAAATATCTTATATAATATTTCTTTATATCAACCCCTACCATTCTGAAATAATTAAATACCATAACACAAGGAAGTGTAATTTAATATAACCTTGTAGGCAGGCACACGCCCTTTTTCCCCATGAAAATCTTACGGTCGATTGGGCGTAGGTAAGTAAATAGTGCTGTAGAGGGGGGTGAAAATTAGTTTCTGAATTCAGGACAGATACCCTTCCCCTCCCTAGTTAGGGTACTCATGCAACAGGTTTTATCAGGTAGGTCAACCACGTGGTTGTGGTCAAGTGCTTGCCTATCTAGAATAATAAAAAAACGTTTTAACGTTGCTTTGGTCTGCCCAAGTATCTGATCTTTAAGGCATATGGTGCATTTCTCTTGTGTTATTAAAAAAAACCGGTCAATTGTGAATCACATTCGCGCGCAATTGGCCGGTTTTAAAAATCACGTCTCTTGTATGGCAGACTCCTTACAATTTATTACAAGGCAACAGAATGCATCATCTGTGAAAACCTAACTATCTATCTATCACGATTCACAACCTGGAGACTATTAAAATTATAACAAGAGTGGGCTCATCTCTACAAGAGATCTCTTCCAGCCAACCAAAGAGTCGTGGGGGAGTAAGTTGCAAGCGTTGTTATTAATACTTATCTGGTGGTATTATTATTACTTATCAAGATTTTGTTTATCTTCGTCTTTCACTCGCCATATTACTCCCCACACGTGGGCGTTTGCAGTGGGCACTAAGGTTACGGTTGGCCCACCCCAAAATTTCGAATATTTTATGAAATCCAGTCTGTAATTCTGAAAAAATAAAGCTTATGAGTTCGTCTGCTAAAGCTTATGTACTTGTTCATCAAAAAATAATATATATGTCATCATTCAGTTGTGAAGAAGACATGTCTAATAATATTGGACTTCAGCCCTGCGATTCTCTAAAAATCCAAGCCCGAATTCAAATTTACTCAGGTGTCCGAAAGCACTTCCAAAAGCGGCATCCGCTCAACCTTGAACTGATAAAAGTGAAGTGTGTTTCGAAATGACATAGGAATAGAAAATCTGAGACATGTATATTCGATCGATTTTGGTTTGTATTTTTATACAAAAAATGGAATCAATAGAATTTCTTCACTAAATGACGTGAATTTGAACACATGAGTGATTTCGAATTCGAGTCTAGATTTTTGCAGAATCGCAGGGCAGGTAGGTACAATGATAAAATGCAAGCAGGTAGTTGAGACTATTAAGATGCGAGGCGTTGGTTATACGAGAAAGACGTTTAGGGAACCATTCTTCATATGGTAGCAACAATCAGTCCTCGACGCAATGTGGTCTTCGTGGATGGAGGTAAGTACTAGACAAAATTCAAACTTAATACTAGTACCTACTCTCATATCAATAACATATTTACTAACGTCAAGTCGAGCTATGGAGACAAATTCAGCTGAGGGACAATCTCTAAGTAATATATAGGTGAACATGTTACAGCCATATGCAAAATAAAGAAACGTATCGGTAGTATAATCGTATTTTAACATACTGAAAGATTTTCAAGCTTTTCTGGAAAGTTAGCATTTTTCACGAAGTGTTTTAAATTTTCATTGGCATTTTCTTTTCAATTTGACTCTTTAACTGTAAAAAATCTATCTGGAGAAACGGGATAAACTTACAATGAAAGAGTAAATAAATGTATCTTCTTCTCATATACTTTTATTCTTTGGATCTCCTCATAAAACTATCAATATAGCTCTCAGAATCTATGATATAGATTTTCTATATGTATAACACTGATTTTTTGCAGTATATTTATTTAGTTAACTTAAGCGTACTGGTTATGAAAATACCATTGGGATTTATCTAGCAGCTCTAGTTTTAAATTTATATACAGATTATATTTTATAAAAGTGTGATTTTTTTACACACTTTATTTGAAACAATTACTGCAGTTGGGGAAAAAATTGTTTTATAAGATTTTTTGAAGTATAAAAATCTAGTAGTCGGCCATCCTTTTATGTCCCTTGGTAACGTTATTCCATTGTGCGAATATCCCGGTGAAACCTTTCACCTTGCTCTTCACTATAATTGCCAAGGTTTTCAGGGAATCCATCCAAATGAGAATGTGAATACAATATTCACATACACAGTGAATACACATACTTTAATTTGGGTCTGTTATCAGTTGTATGATTTGTGGTCCATCGAACCCAAATTGCTTTTGACGTTTACGTTCACTGTCGATCGTGAGCGCGTTAAGATTTTAGTATGGAATCCGGTAGAGCGCCCCTAGCGGTAACTAACAAGAACTACAAATCTCCATACAAATTCTTAACGCGCTCACTTGTACCACTCTGTTCAGTCCAATACGCAAATTTAACGAAGTCTGTAATCGATTTACGATACTTTGCAAATAACAGATAATACAAATATTGTTAGGATCGTTTAAACCAGAGGTTCCCAAAAAATGTGAAGATCTAACGATGGATATTGGCGTCGCGGGTGAGTTCCAACCTTAAATTCGGAGTGGTAAAAATAAATAAAAAATAGTAAATTTTTGCGATCTATTTATTGAAATAATAATGATAACAGACTTAATAGAATTAAAATGAAACACTAATAACGTTACGTAAGTTCAACAATGCAAATCAATAACAAAAAATACTCATAAGTTTAATAGGAGGGATGTACTTGATGGATAGACAGCAAATTATCAATATTTGGCTTCAGTTTTGTAAGGATTAACCGCAAATCTCCCCATTCTGTAATGTTTTATGTGCTCCTTTTTACCCGATTGCGCGACGCAAAGGAGGGTAATGAGTTTATAAGTCTATGTAAATATGTATGTATGTTTGATTCTATGTGGCGTTCTAAAGACCAAATGCGTAGGCCGATTTTGATGATTCTTACGCCAATCGATTCGTCTTAACCTTGCGAGTTTCACTAAAGACATGACAAAATAATATACAAAATTCAGCACAGCGACAACCAGACGACATATTGTCAGAATGAAAAAAATAAAATCGATGAACTATGTCAAGTGGGGTGTCGTTGAATAGGTTCCTTTTATCATTTTTCATTATAAATAATAGTTTAGGATATATAACGATTTAAAGTTTTTTACCAAAACAATCCTTCTCGCAAATTTTCTTACTTATTGATTTAAGTTTTTATTTAAAGTATAAACGATATACAAACAAAAACAGTGAAAAGAGTATGAAGAACAAATATTTTTGGTAAAAAAATAAAGCATATGTAACTTTGAGCCGAATAAGGTCTCTAGAGGGCCAAATCAACAGTAGTTTAGACCACCGCAAGTTACTTAATAATCCCCACGATATTAAATCCCTCGATGAAATGACTAGACTGCGGAATTTACCATCTTATAACGGAGTCAACGAATCCAAAATAAAAAGTATAAAATAAAAATAAATAATTTAAAGAAAAACAAAATACCCGAGTTATCTTACCAAGCGGCCCTTGGTAATTGGTAAGGTTTTTTATGGGAAAATTTGAATATAATTTGAAAATTTGACTGTGAGTCGTTCTGTTCTGTATTACTTAACAGAATTCTAAACTACTGGGCTTGTTTCTTTCTTTATAGTTTTTATTTAAGTTAATTATTTCATGTATTTTTTTAAATTCGTTTTGACGCTTTCGGTTTTTTGACGGTGTCGGTGTTTTTCTTTTTTTGTTAATAGGTTTGTAACGACACTAAAACTTTTTTCGACAAGGTATGACGAGGTAAACGCTTTCAAAAGTTCTCTCGCAATTTCCCACAGCCCTGGATATTTTCCTGGAATTTCTGCCTGCAGCTGCAAAATCTTTGATAGCCTTTATTAAATTGCACCTTCAGCTCTTCATTGGTGCTGAGCTCGAGTAGTTCCTCTTGTATATACTACATCCGCCACTTCCGTTTCATCAAATGGATTTACGATCCCTGGTGGTATTTCCATTATCAAAATATCTTCAAATCTGTTTTTGAAATCATCATGCAGCGCATTTAAATGTTGAACGTATGTCTAAATATCTTCATCAAAACAAGCTATATGTGACAAGTTTGGAAACTGTCAGAATTCGCGCCGGCTAATATTTTGCTTCATAAATTTCAATTTTCCAAGAAAAGCCGAAATTACACTCTTTGTTTTTATTAAATTTAGTCTTATTTTTTTAATGTAAAAGCAATCGTCAGAAGTCTTCATCATTTTCGTCGCACAATTGGGCAAATAAACGAGTATTCGACGCACTGTTTTTTATTTTATTAACAGCTTTAATCACAAGTTGAAGCGATTGATTCAATCTATCACTCAAATTTTTCGCTACCATGTGTTGTCGAAGTGTATTGCGGTTACTCCTGGTATTATTTTTTAAGATGGCTTATAAACCCACGATAACGTCCGACCATGGCAGGAGCTCCATCTGTTGCCACCGGAATAACGTTTGTAAATGGAATCGATTTGTCCTGAAAAAAAAAAATTACCCAGTAGCTTAAATATTGATTCGCCTTTAGTGTCCGTCTCTAAAGTTTTCGCGAATAGTAGCTCTTCATGGATTTCTTCGTCCATAATAAATCGAATATATGCCAATAATAATGCTTCATTACCAAGTAAAGTTGACTCATTTAGTTGAATAGAAAAGTGAGTTGTTTGTAGAAAATTACACAAGAAACGTTCAATATCAGAGCTCGTTTCATCAATACGTCTTTGTACAGTGTTGTTACTTAAAGGAATTTTAGTACGTTACGTGAAGACATGTGTAGAACAGTTTTTAAAACCTCTTCAACAGAGGGTAAAATTAACTGTTCTCCGATGGTGTGCGGTTTCCCAGATTCCGCAATAAGTAATGAGTTGAAGCGAACATACTGCGCACGGTGGGTCTCTTTTCATATTTTTCTTTCAATGTTTGAAAATTAAATCTTTATCTATTTTATCAGGATGACACTTTCTTAGATAGTCTGCGAGCTTCGATGGTTTCATAAAGTCATTGCTCAAAACTTTGTTGCATAAAAGGCATGTCGGCAATCGTTTGTCTGCCTTTGATGGAAGAAAACCAAATAACAAATAATCAATACTGGCGACATTTCTTCTTAGATTCAGCCATGTATCGTATCAGTAACAAAAAATGAAATAAGTATATAATTAAATTACAAACATGCAGGTCAATCATATATTCCTCCTTTAGTGAATAACTACAGCCGGGTAAATAAATAATTGTATAATAAAAAGTACAAAATAAATGGAATAATGTACCTATTCAGTATTTATTAGGTGCATACCTACTACACGCGAACATAACAAATGCGTAACGTTTGTCTTTGCCATTCGTATTTATATTGGTGAAGAATCAAACAAGTTCGTACAAGATCGTAAGCACAGCAGAAGTGGTATTTCGTAGCTGTGAACGTCTGTTCACAGCTACGAAATACCATTTTACTAAATAGACACGCGTTGTACTGAATATTGAAAAAGCAAATTTTTACAAGTAACATACGCTGGCCTTCTTACAATATTATCGCCTACCTGCACATTGATATGTACCTAGGTAAAGCCAAGCCAACATTTTTGTTCTTTACTATCGAAACCAGATAATTTTAATATTAGATTAATTTAATATTAGATTAATAATAAATTTTCGAGGACCCCACTTACAAGTTGTGAACCCCTATTTTTATTTCACGCCAACGTAGACCCCCGTTGAATCCCTCGTGGACCCCTGGGGGTCCACCTGGACCACTTAGGGAATCAATGGTTTACACAATGTCTCTTCTTCGTAGCCATCGTTTAATATTGTGAAAAAATTAATAATACACTTATTTTTTTCAAATTTCTTTGAAAACCATATCGATTCGTTAAATTAATCGAAATTTGACTTAATGTCATTATTAAGTAAATTTTCGATTAATTTAACTTAACCAACTGTAAGAACTCATTTCTTTACACAAAAGCAGTTGAAAATTAGTTTGCGTGTGCGGCCTTTTTAGCGTTCGAATGTACACAAACCGCGCAAGTTTTAATTTTGAAGACTTTTCCGCTTCCACTCTACGCTAGAATAAATCGATAAATTTGTAAACATTTTTATAATAGACAATACCATAGTCTTTAACAGTGACCTCATAGAAAAATATTTAAAATTCAGAAAGTATAGAGCATTTCTATATGTTAGCAGGTCTTAATATACATATAATCAAATAAATAATAATAATGTTTAATGAACATATTTATAAATTTTTGTATATTTCTTTTTGATGTATTTTTAAGTCAAGCTATCAAAACTGGGATATATCTTGGTAAATATCCTAAAAAAAAATAAAATAAGTTTTGTAATAATTTAAAACAGCAGATTATAACTATATGTATGTAATAAATTTTTCATATAATAATAATGTTACACAATCACAGATAAATTTTCACATTTTTATTTACAGACTGTTGAGCTGTTCAATCATTTTAGGTGATGCTTCGTTTCCATTGTGAAGTATCTTTTTCAACTTTTCTATATAGTCTTCAGGGAGTTTACATTCAATTGCACCATTTATAATACAATCAAGATATGTTGTTGATGGCCTTCTTTCTAGAGGCAGTTCTTCATCTTCTTTACAAACAGGTGGATTGATTGTTTGTTGATAAGTACGGCATTGCACTTTTGAGCCCTCAAGTGTAATTATTTCTACTGTTTTAGGAAAATACCAATTTGTATCAACTCCTTCTTGCCTAGAATAAAAAAAAGTTATGGATTGATATGATAATGTTCATTTAGTGCTACAGGTCGATTTTCATCGAAATATTTATCAAGATATTTATTACCTATCTAAAGCAGGCATGTCTTTATTGTGAATCCTCCAAATAGCTCCCCAAACATAGGAGCCTTCTACTGGTACAATTGTAGCTGAAGTCCCTCTCCAATGATCAGAATATTTCATAAAATTTAGTTGATGATCCTAAAATAAAGAAAGTTATTGTGAGAATAAGTATAAGTCGTGGTTTTTGTACTTGTTCCGATAATTTATTATTACGTTAAGACGGCCGACACCCAAAAATTCAGCAGAAGGATTGTTTATACGAATTCTTTTTTTTAATAAATTGCTGCCGTAAGCAAAATATAAAAACGTATCCAGAAGTGGTTCAATCATGTCAATTAATCTTTTGTAATAGGTTACAAATCAGTTACAAATAACACATATTTTTTCTCCTATGATGATTGAATTGATTGATCATAGACAAAAGAAGTGATTGATGTGTTTTTAGCATAGAGTATATTGTTGTAAAGATTCTATGCACAGATTCTATGTGTTTTACAACTTTTTTGCAGCAATCAAAAATTTTTGTTTTCTCTATGGTACAGATAGGGAAGTAACGATATACATATTGATATATTTCATTCTCAACAAGGGATAACATGATATATATCGATATACAGACTTCCTAAAATATATATTTCGTAGATACAGCGATATCGAAAAACTAACATCGTAAATGTAGATTGGTTATTTAAATTTTAACATCCGTAATGTAGCAGCCCGACGCACATGACACCACCGTAGAGATTTTTAGAGAGTTCGATTACTCTAGGTACTTACCATAAGCAGTCAATCAAGGAAGATAGTTCTAATACATCTATCAATGGCTGCAGGACACGGCACATAATACACAGGTACAATGTTAATTACATTAGGTTAAAATATCTAACAACATGCCTTTTTGTTATTGAGACATTCTTTAACAGAATAAAATCCTTTACTTTGTAGACAGACACTGGCCGGTTGTTGCCCACCGTGGCCATAAAACATGAAAATAACTAAAGTACATTGTCCTGTATTAGTGATTTGTCTTATTTTTCGTATGGCATATGCAGCCAAGCTGAGTTTATCAGCTAATTTTGAATCTAATGTTATACAAAACTTTACTTATTTTAAATGTTCGTTGTTGCGTTTAATTTCAGTTGGTTCTACTTTTACATTAGGTGTAGTGAATTATAAACGTTTGGTTTTTTAGCATTCAATTGAAGATTATTAACTGTGAATAAAGACAACACCTGTGAGAGAGCATTGTTTACATCGCCAAAATTATATTTATTTCTGTCAATATTAAACATCAATGAAGTTTCATCTGCAAACAGTACAATCTCACATAGGTTTTTAATAAAAAATGGTAAATTATTTCTATATATTAGATATAAATATGAGCCTAAGATAGAAGAAACTTGGGAAACACCTATTTTGACATGAGACCCCGACGACTTCGCACTATTTATATCTTTATAGCTTGTGTTTCAGTGGGGGACTAACCTCATCGTTTACAACCTAACCCCCCCACCCCCTGTGTTTAAAACTATTTTGACATATTGTACTAAATGGTCTCAGCCATTTAGTACAATATGTCAAAATTCCGCAAGCGGTTTTAAACTCTATTACAAATATTATAAGGCTTAAAATGAACTGAAGCAATTTGACAGATATATAATTATTACCCGACGTGCTGTTGACTGTACATACACAAAAAAGTAACTTAAATACATGTATCATTATTCGAATTAATTACTCCATATCTATGATATTGATCACTACTCTCGAATCGTTAAGGTTTCAAATCGAGTGGAAACTCGGTACCTGCAAGTAATCGAAATGTCTGAAGAAATATAATTTGTTTCTTTAATAAATGTATTTATTAAAAAATTGGAAAGAAATGAAATGTATATTAGTCTAATATACAATTCATTTTTTTTATTACATAATACTCAATAATTAAAAGATTTTCTTAACTCTATCAAATGTCTTATAAAGAAAAGACGCCATAAATATGAGAATTCATGATTTGGCTGTACGGCTTAGTTCCCTTGCTTGTCCCATGACGAAAACCACAAACAACATAAATATTTTATAGAGAAGCAAGTTGAATTGATATGGGAAAATTGAACCAAAAAAAAAACTCTTTGGTTTTACTTTACCACTTATTTTTACCGTTTTTCACCTGGACGAATTATAATACTACTACTACCGTTTTTCATATTTTTTATTAAAATATCTAAAAAGATTTTTAATGCAATACGTAGATCTCTTTCGTCTATGATGTTGCTGTTAAATCGAGCAAAAAGAGCTTTCAGTGGATAGTGTTGATAATGTTTTTTTAACAAGTTGTTCAAATCCAAGTGCCATGTGTTCTAATTTATTAATAACATTATTATTTGCTGTACCATGTCGATGAACTATGCTTTTGGTTTCTCGTTATTTTTGCTACTTCTGGTAGGAATTAACATTTATTTTTTCTATACATTGAATACGGTGCAAAGACACGATCAGAGTTTCAGTACGCTTGTAACAAAATTAGATAAATCTCCCAGTGTTTTCAAAGAAATTTACGGATATCTTAATAATTTACCTAGTGTTTATAAAAATAGAAATCATAAGTTTACACTGACACACAAAAATCTCATCAATTCATTTAACTTGACCAACATTAACAATATTGGAAATGCATTATTTAATGCAGTCAGTGTAAGTTATGTTTTTTCTTTTTTTTATTGATTTAATAGTGTGATTATAATTTTGTTACTTGTTAAATTTTAGTGGGCCAGTGAGGAATCATTATTTCCTCTTAAAAATGGACTCCCTGGGCAAATATTGCAGGCTATGCATACCTCACAGATAGTACTGGTTGATAATGCTCCTAAAGGCACTCAGCTGAAGTTGCTACTTCAAATAGAGGTTTATAGAAAATAATAATTAAGCTTTATATATTATATATTTAATTCTACTATGAAGACTCAATCTTAAATAATATTTTCTTCTTTTAGGGAAAACATAAACTTTATTTTAAGCCTAAGAGATATCAACTAAGTGATGTTATAAATGGCAACATATATGCTGGTTTTGATCGTCACAATTCCGAAGTTTTTGCATATTATCTTGCTATAGTGTTGAATTTCACATGGATAGCACCATCAGTTATTAGGAAGATACATGTTAATAATGATATTTTACCTGTAGCAACTATTGGATTAAAGAAAACTATGGTGAAGAATGGTATTTAACATACTCAACTTAATGGCTTCACTTTCCAATTTTGTCACTGATCTTGGTACTGTAAGTATTTGTATTATGTCTCTCAATCTGTAGAAGTATTCAGGGGCAACAGATTAATTGATAAAATCCATAAAATGTTATTCTAGCTATGGCTATGGTCATAGCTAGGAGTTAGGAGGTTGCTCTACTGGCCCCTAGTTACACCTCAACAAAAATGGTTTTTTTTTCACAGTATACATAGATTATGACAAATGTGAAAGTATTTTCTGGAACTCAATTCATTGATGTTACAAGGTGTCGCCATCTCTGAGGTCCCGGCGTCAATACCTGGTTGGGTCAATGTAGAAAATTAACTTTTCTATATTGTCTCAGGTCTGGGTGTTGTGTTACCTTTGTTGTCTCAGATACTCCATAATACAGGGACTCTAGCTAATCATCTTTGAATCTGATCAATGTATGTGACGTTCTTTAATATTTATTTATTTATTTTATTAAGTCACTCAGCACCAGTGAGGAGGTCAGGTACTGCAACACCTGGTGGCAGAAAGGCAAAATAAACTTCTAGATTGCTGAATAAGTTTCTTCCATTAAATGAAAGTCTTAGTATATTCTTATGAACTAAATACTAATAATTTAATAATAAATTAACTTTCAACCTGACTCCATCATGTGTTCCAGTCCCTGACCTCCACACTGGTTTGGGTACTGAGTGTTGTTTATACTTGAACATACTGAATGCTCTTGAACATTTTTGTCACACCCTCATTGACTATAGGCATAATAATCATAAAAGATTTAAAAACTTAACAAAAACATTTTTGTTTTTAATTTTGTTAAATCAAGTCAAATCAAATTCTTTATTGGCCTTGTAACAGAGAATGTTTCACTAGGTAAGTCATAATATACATTCATTGTCATTTAAGAATATTATATAAATTAATCATAATTTTAATATAATATTAATCATAATTTTCTTCTTTTATTTATGGGTTATCTTCTTGTTTTTGACAATTATACCAATTTCACATGGAAAGCTATTATATGGTAGGGTTTTTTTTTGTATAATAATAAATATTGCAAGTTTTGTAATTTGAAAACTATCAAAACTCCCTTTTACTTTGTTGTAAGAAAATAAAATGTAGTCTATCCCCCTACTTCCCCAAAATCATCTTACTAATGGACAATGATTTATGACAAACTTCCAAAATCAGCAACAAAATTGGAAAGAAATCAACAAGGCTTAATATTATAATATTTTTATTATTAGATAGTGATAATAGATATTTTAATTTTTAGCAAGTGGTTCCTTTTGTATTTATGGCAAATGTTATTACTGTAAAATAAATGAAACTGTTTGCCCTGATGATAAAGGCCAAATAGAAGGTGCTGCTATATTATACTTAGACAAAACATTCAAGATATATAAATCACCATGGAGGAGATCGTATACCAGTAAAAAAATGGAGTGGGAGAAGGATAATAATTTTTGTAAGTAAGTATTTATTTATTTTTAACAAAATTAGTGGACCTCGATTCTGCTAATGTTAATGAAATACTTCAATGGTGTTTCACCATTGCATTTTCCCACTGTATTATTCACCTTTCTTCAAATATTATTAGTGCTATAGCCTGTTGATGAATCAATGGTGATAGATTAAAAAAAGAATGATTAGTCGCGATAAAGTGACAAGAATTGTGTCAAAAAACTGATTGACACACTAATTAGCTTTTTTGTGTTTTATGAGTTAATAAAAGTGTTTTCTATAATTATGTTAACGTTAACAGAATTGAGCCCCTGATATTATGTTTCATAAATATTTTTGTGATAAGTCATCAATATATTGTAATGTTTTACAGAAAAGTAATCAGTACACATAGCACAAAACGACTGTTGAACTTAATAGATGTAGCAATATTTGATTTCCTAATACAGAATGGGGACCGACATCGATATGAGGTCTATAAAGGAAAAATCGTACTATTTGACAATGGAAAAGGCCTGGGTAATCCAATGGTTGATGAGTTGGACATATTAGCTCCACTTTATCAATGTTGCATGTAAGTACATACAATACATATTTGTACATCTGTAATGGAAATTCTCTTGTTTTGTTTTGTGAGTGACTTTGTATAAAATGCATGACAAATATGTGTAAGAATTTTGTGAATGGTAGTACTTTTGATTTGCAGGAGAAATGCTCCTTAAGCCTTTAACCCTGAAAAGAAAAGGTTAATATGGATATGAATAACCCGGTATTCTGCAAGGATACTGGGCCTCGGTTAGGGTAGGGTAGTACTAAGGTTCCAGTGCGGACCGGACGACGGTCCTTGGGTGGCGGGAGCATGTTCCCGTACTTGAGGTCCTGAATCTGCAAAGGTTACCTTCCTATCTTGTTCTTTTGCTGGCTTCGATCGGCTGGGGGACTTGGAGTTTTGATAGTAAGGGAAGATGGTGTGTCGTCCTGCACAAGCAGGAGAGAGAATTTTCCATCTCGTACTTCGGTCGCTGGGTTCCGGCTGCCGCACACACCGTTAGGTATATGAGGTGACCGTGCCTGGGTGGCGCTGCGATCGGAACATGCGACTAAGGAGTGGTGAGCTAATGACCGGCCTGGCTTTGTTGGGCTTGACATCGTTGGTAACCGGGGTTATTGGGGAGGGGAATTCACGAATTCACGAGGGTTTAGCCTAGGTGAATACCTCTATGAGACGGGTTAGGTTGGGATATGATCAGTTGCGCATCTTCTGCTCTTGACGAGGGGCAGTCTGACGAGTTAGCGCGCTCCCTGGGCATTGCACGTCCCTTGTCCTGTCTGGGAGGCGGGAATCGAATGTTCCTGAGCCCTGCCTCTAACCCATGGTGGGACTTACCCCGCAAGGGGTGGGTCGAAACTGGGGCAAGTATTGCGGGAAGTGGTCCCATCTTGTGACCGTTACTGTGCCTCGTCCTTGTCATGAGGGACATCGCTAGGTTTTATTGGGTATGCCTCTGCTATTTGATTAGCCCCCACTTTGGGGGTGGATCTGCAGGTGAGAGTCCCACATAACTCGTGGAGCTCGTGCAGGGTGAAGTTAGTATGCGTAACGTAATTCCTAGCGTTAAAAAAAAAGGTTGTTTTAAGGTAAGTACTAACTAAATCACTCAGTACCCGAAACGGAGCTAGGGGCTGGAATAGCCGGTTGCGACGCGGTGGCGTATTGTGAAATACATACGACTACATTAAATAAACACAATTTGCTAGTTTTTATTATTTGATGTTTAAACACAACATTTAAATTTTGACAATTGTTCAACACATAAAATTATTGGCAATCGTTACACAGGGGTTAGGAACACTGAAGACTTTAGTTATATATAGGTACTAGCTGACAGACTTCGTCCTGTCAAAAAGATTTGTAATGTGGCAGTTTTTTTGCCTACGTATTTAAAAAAATTCTGATGCATTTTATCTCGCGTGCCGAAACTAATACAAAAGAAACGCGAGTTTCGGAACGCGACATTAAACTCCTCCAACTATGTATTCTGTGCTCCAACGCACACACGCACATGTTTTGATAGATATGATCTTTGACGTTAGGAACACACCTACATTGCTTAGACAACAGTGAGTGCTTGTAATTTAATATGAACTTTATACCATAGCAATAAAAGTTTTATCCAAATCCGTCCAGTAGTTTTTTCGTGAAAGAGTAACAAACATCCATACATCCATACTTACAAACTTTCGCCTTTATAATATTAACTAGTGGACGCCCGCGACTTCGTCCGCGTGGAAGTCGGTAGCTCTAATAAATTAAACATTTTTTATCTGTTTCATCAACTTCTCCTTTGGTGGAGTTATAATATTTAAGTATTATGTAAACTTCCATATTGTTACCGTGATAATTGAGGATAATAAGATTGTTGTTTTGTTTTGCTGATAGGATATATCGCTGCCTATAAACATAAGGACCACATGTCGAAATTAAGAAATTTTGAGAAATTTGGAGAACGCCATTCTTCTCTTCTTTGCAATATGGTTAATTTTATTTTTCAAAATTAATGTTTTTTCTTTATTAATAGTAGAATAGACACTTGACATTATTATTAGATGTTGCATAATAAATAAATTCACTAGTGTGAATCCAGGTGTCGCACTTAAAAAACCAATTTAAACCCTTGTAGCCCAAAGTCATTAATTTTAAAATTAATACCATATAAGGACTTCTTTTTAAGTATAATAAAACACGTACTTAAAAAAAATCGTTATTATTATTATTAACTTATTTTAGAATAAAGGGAGCGTGACATATCTGTAACATTGAGCTGATTATTAATTATTTTCTATATAGTGTGGAAATCTTTGAAGCAATTGTTTTTTTGTTGTAACACAGAGCTACACCGCATTTCTCACAAATTGTTTGGGATACTCCAGTGCACTTAGGGAACTTGCACCTGATCCTATTTTCTTACCAAATTGGCCAGTGCTTTACTTGATCTTGACGCACTGCAATTGGGGGAGTATACTGCGCAGGACCCTTATGTTTTCTGTCCAAGTTTGCACAAAGTTTCGGCTACTTCGAGTGGGAAATCTGCAGAAGTCATATCCTTTTTAAGATTTCTGGTGGCACCTTTTGCTCGTCGGTATAAAAGCCACGCATTTGCCATTACCAGATCTAATAAATGGTAGAATAAACGCATTTGCCACCTTTTACTTCGCACCAAGATTTTATAATATCCCATGATGCCGTCAACTTAATCAACACCACCCATATATTGAATGTATTCATTAACAATCTTGGGTCGATCAATGTTAACGTATCTTTTATTACTTTTGTCATACCGTCACACTTGATCCTTGGTATTTCGCCTACGAATGTCGACACCATAGTAACAACTTTATTATCTTTCCAGACAACATTCGAAATCTCAATACCGTCCACATTAAATTCCATGGAATAACCACGCTCTTTTTTTGATAACTCTTTTTCAGCAGGTAATTTGCTGTTAGGAATTCTATTACGACGTATCGTTCCAAGGCTCAAGATTCCCTCTTTTGCTAAATGCTCCGTCAGTGGCAGAGATGTGAAATAATTATCGAAGTACAGCTTATAATTTTGATTCTTTGGGGTATCACGTGCCATCATCATAACTACATTAGATGAAACACCCAAGTTAGGCTGTCCAGTGAGTACAATATTTTCAGCTCCAGTTTCAATTTTAATTTTATAAGCAAACCCACTGACTCCGCTCAGCATATATAATTTGTAACCCCATTTATGGGGCTTTTTGGGATTATAGCGCTTCAAACTGTTTATAGCTTTTGTAGAACATATTTACTCATCAAAGCATAGGTATTCCTCTGTGGTAACTTTACTAAAATTTTCATTCAATTAATCGACAATAGGTCCTAATTTGAATAATCTGTCAGCACCCTGTCTTTTACGTTGAGGCATTCTCGAGTTATTATTAAAATGAATGAATTGCCTTATTTTTTCAAATTTATTTTTTGATATTGTTTCGCGTATCAAAGGCGTTCCAATGTTTACATTCCAGTGACAACAACCGCAGCGTATTCAAAGTACTGATGCACCGTCTCCAACGCATTTAAAGCTAGCTTCATTGGAATGTTCTTTATTTCTGTTTCCGTAATTTGTGCCTCGTCTTCACTGTCATTTCCAGCAATACAGGTGTTCACACAATTCTTAACGATATCTTCGTCGGTTTGACCACCAATTTTCCGTTTTGACATGATGCAGAACAGAACTTTCCTTCGCAATTGATAACAATAAACTGAGTAAGTCCGACAAACAGGTCGGTACATAGGCACAGGGTGTTCATTTGAAAAGAATGCGATAAAATAACAACATTATGTATTTAGTTCCACGTAATAGAATAGGTACAATATTGATGAGAATACAAAAACAATGGTAGGAAGTTCCACGAAAGTTAAGAATGAGTCAATGAGTCATAAAATAGCACATGTTAAATTTGTAAATAAAGCTCGACTGTTGCTTATAGACGTGTAGATAAGTAGCAGTCTCACCTACGGAGGTTTATGAGGGAAAAACGACTGTCTCTTACAGAGGTTTCTGTTTCTCGCTTATAGAGGTTTTGGGAGCTTAAAGTGACGGGTCATGGCTATTACTCTCACTTATAGAGTTTTTTCACTTATCCAGTTCTCACTTATCCAGGTTTGACTGTATATCAGATTGCAAAATACTATTTCCTGAAAACTTTACCTGTTCGTCATTTAGGATAAGGTTTTGTTCGTTTCCGTTGTAATTCCCTCTTGTTTTTTTTTTTTACTATTTGAGACTGATTGAGTTCCTTGCTGAGCTGGTTCAATAATAGGTTGTGGAACATTTTCATTATTTTCTACTGCATCAATAATTGAATTTAACCTTACGATGGTAACATAATTTAAATGAACACGCATGGTAACAGGGGTGCCGCGTCACCCCGTAATAATAAATTAAATAAAAAGACTTTTATTATAAGAAAAATAACACTTTTTACTCTTGATAAAAACTAAAGGAACACTCTACGAAATTATGTTATACTTTAAAAAATAATGTTTTTGGCAATTTAAATACAATTGAGAAAATTTTCTACACGATGTTCAGGACACGCAGGTTTTTTGCATTTTGAACAAAAAATCTTAACTTTTTTGTCATTCTTTCGAGAACACAATGCACATCGAGCTTGTTTTTTCAATTTGGCAGGGGGTTCACTTGCTGGAACTTCTTCAGGGACATTTAGAATGGCCCTTATGTTACACCTTAGTTGCTGAGGTAAATTTGAATCCAGACGTCGTTTCATTTGGGGCTCGGCTAGCTGCAGTGCTAGTTTTTTTAGATAATTACTTCTAAATTTGTTAGCTGGCATGTTCGGATGCTTAGCTTCTAGAAATAGAATCATAGAATTTATCCCTGCTTGATCTAACATGCCAAAGAAAAACCTGAGTGGCCAGCGCCGAGTACCCCTCGCAGTTGTGTAATTGTGCATCATTTTGTCAAAGGTATCAACCCCTCCCTTTGTTGCATTGTAGTCATCAATTATTACAGGCTTACGCGTT